GTACAAAATACTCTCATACGTGGGGCAGTTCACTGTACAAAAATAAAAGAGGGAGAAACCGTTACCAACATGTTTGACATTCTGAGAACTGTGTTGTACAAAAGCTTTGGAATTTTATCATCTACAAATTTCTCGAATCTTCCGTAACTCCATGCAATTGTTCCAAAAATGCCTGTAATTTTGGTGTCTGCTGTTACTAATTTCCTGGGGGGACAATTTTTTCCTTTCCTTTGCTAAAATATATAGTCACAACCTGATTTGAATTTATCAAGCCCGAAATACCCTGACGGTGTTACCAAACGAGGCCTGCATGTATAATGTGAGTTCTTTCTTTTTGATTTTAGAATCAACCTTGTCCTATGTTAGGCAGCTGGAGGCCAGAGTCAGACAGCTGGAGGAAGAGAATCGAATGCTGCCCCAGGTGGGTGACTTCCCCAAGCTCACAGCCAGTCGGTGTCATTTGATTTGGAATGTAAAGTCTCGGTTACATTTCTCCTCTTTAAATGCTTGAGATCATTTTGTAAATAGCCATTCATCAACGTAGAGTGTGTTGACTTCCCATGCTGGTCATCGTGTATGCTAGATGCCGGGGTGCCATGCTGAAGGCTCCAGATGTGAGCCAGGGAGAACGCAAAGGGATTTTAGAAGGAAGGAGAAAGGGGGGGAAATGCAAACAAGTAGAAAACGAAGGTGCTGTGCTACCCCTCTCACAGACGTTGTATATGAGGTTGGTAGAAAGCAGAAAAGGACTGTAATTTAAATAGGAAATTTGCTAATTGATGAGTTAGTCAAAGCTGTAGGTAGCTTGAAGGTTTACTGCTTTAATTAAATTAGTACTTGCTCAAATTCTTTACAGTACAATTGAACTCTTTCATTGCAATAAAGCAATGACAGTAATTGACAGTTTTACTACGTTTTTTTCTTGAAGGCTTTGTCCCCTCCCCCCACTGAAGGCAAAAGTAGAACTTTTTTACAGGTTCTCTAATGCCTGCCGGTATGTTTCACTTTATAAAAGGATTTCTGAGGCTTGTTAACTTGGTGAGGAGGATTTTGCTCTTGTGGGTGGTGGTTCTTGGGAAATGCTTTCTTCAAATGCCGAACAAATCTTTTTGCAAGAAAGGCAAAATCTATTCTTTTATATATATTTTTTTCAAATCTTAGAAAAAGGTCAAATAGTCACTCAATGGTGGGTTACGCCCTTCACACATTCTGCTGATTATTTTAATTTTTCACGCAATTAAGGGAAACGTTGGAAACAGCCCGTCAACTGGGGCCCACACATTTGAACCTGTAAGAACTGACCAGACTGGTGTATTTTTCCAGCTCGTGCAGTATTTCCACCTTTGACAGGGTGCACACTTAGCCTTTTTCATTTGCTCATTTTCTTGGAAAACGTGAGATTTCCTTCTCTGATAGGTTCTACCTTCCACAGATTCTGGCTTCTGTACATTTTATTGTGGCATAAATCTTCTAAAATAAAAAGACAAAAGACTAGTTGTAATTCAGGAGACTAGATTTAAAGTATTAATGTGAAGACTCTGGAAAGACATCCTAGGTGTCTCTGGTCCTCGTTTGCTTCTGGACAGTGTGTGCTCATTAATAATGATCCGGGGGCGACATGTCCTGGTGTAAGAATGTATTCCCCTGTCTTCCATGTGCCAGCCACCTGGGTAGGACTCTTGAGATGAATTGAAAGTATTCCACTTCTTTCAGACTCTACATAAGTCCAAACCCCGGGTTGACAGAAAGGAGTATTTGAATCACAAAGTAAAATATGGCTGGGAGAGGGTGGGTTTTCTTTTCCCATTGCTGTTTTAAAATTTTTGGTTTTGAACTTTAGCTCTGTCTTTACCTGTCATAGTGGAGGGCTCTTGCCTGGAAACATTGAACTTTATTCCGTGGTTCAGATAAACTCGAAAAATAGAGGAGTTTTGAGCATGGTTATCAAGCAGGAAGGAGCTCTGGTGGCTTAGTGGTAAGGAATTGTGCTGCCAACCCGAAAGTTTGTGGTTTGAATCCACCAGCTGTTGTACAGGGCAATCTCTTCCTGTGTGATTTACTACCTCTGGAGTGTTAGATATGGGTCAGTTCTGGCTCGGCGGCATTCAGCAATTATACATGGCTGTGGTAAGAAGTTGCACTGCAATACCGAAGGCTGGTGGTTCAAATCCAACAGCTGTTTAGTGGCAGAAAGATGGAAAATCTCCTCCCTTGCTTTTAAATTGCCTGTGTGAACCCTCCATAGCTACTCGATGGTACCCAACAACAACATTCTATAACATCATCTCTAAGCAACTAAGAATATAAGGAAGAAGAAATAGGGGGAAATAGATCTTATTCTTAGTTTAACTCTACGTGAAACTCGAATAAGATGTTGAAAATTGGTGGCACTTGGAGATCTAAAGACTTGGAGAAATTAAGCTTCTCTAGTTGAAATATTCAATCATACACATTTTTAATACATTGACATTTTACCATCAGGTAAGATTGTTCTCCCCCTTTTCTTCTTCTTCTATAATAGCTACAAAGATCATGTTTTTATTAAGTGTAAGATGTAATTGATGCAGGATACACCTACATTACTAACTCACACCATTAAGAAAGAAAGAAAAATATATCTTTTCAACTATACTCTGTAAGATGCTAGCTGATCTCAGACATGTTAAAATTGGGGGGGGGGGTGAAGGTTTTATAATCCCTTAAATAACACCTAGTTTAATGTCTAAAGTGCTTTAATGTACTGAATGTCTACCATTTCAAACACTGTCTCAAACATATGCAAAGAAATCAAGATTCAGTTCAAAAAAACAAGGTTTCTGTTAAATTCCTGTGTCCAAGATAGTTCAAGAGAATTCTGAAAACCTCAGACTCCTTGCTACTGACTCAGAACAAACCCATGACTGACCCTCCGGTTTGCTGAAGCTGTAGATCACATAGGAGGAAATTGCCCCTCTTTCTCCTTTGGAGAAGCTGGGGGATTTGAACCACGCACTCTTGGATTAGAGAGGCAGCTCCCTACCTGCTAGACCACTGGAGTTCCCTGAGAGTGTTCCCTCAATTTAAAGCAAAGATAGATTAGACCCACCAGCTGTAAGTACAAGTAATTGCATATTGAGATGAACACAGACAGTAGGTAAGAGCCTATAACATGAAACAAGGTCTCTGAGCAGTGAGAATCTTAGGAAGAGAAGCAATCTCATGAACAAGAGAGTTAACTAGATAGCACAAAGGCATGAACAGGCTTATTCTTTAGGCCTTGTTTGGCCAATCATTTGTTCTAAATGTACTCTAGGGAGTATTATCAAGGCAAGTCACAGAGCCTATTAATAATACTGCAAATAGTGATGAGATCTCCCCGCAGAAACCATCTCTCCTATTTCTGGTGCATCCTGTTAGCTGATTTGCAAGGTCAGTTCATTGCAACAAGCTGACATCCTTCCATAAATTAGTCTCAACATCTGAACACTTGATTTTCAATTATCAGAATTTGTTTGTGTTGTGCCTTGATTAATCAACTATTTCTTTTCATTCCAAAGTCAACAAAAGTATATCCATTTTTGTTTGGAAAAGTAAGAGTATAATTGGCTAGTAGAATTCCAAGTATATAAAATATTTTCTTCTGGCTGTGGCCAGGCAGGTATTTTTCTGATAAAAAAGAGACCAAGTAGGCCCGCATTTCTTCTGGGATAAGAATGTCTCTTCTATGCTTACTTGATTCATTATGTAAAATCACACAGAAGGAACAGAAAGGCATAACTTCAACACTGTTATTGTTGTTGTTATATGCCATCAAGTCTCTTGCGACTTATAACGACCCTGTGTACACAGCTCTGAACCCTGCTCTATCCTGAGTCAACCTCATTGTCTCTGACACACCTACTCCATTACCCCAGTCACTGAGTCAATCCAGCTCATCCTCGGTCTTCCTCTCTTGGACTGTTCCTCCAGTGTCCCAAGCATGACGTCCCTCTCCAAGGACTGGTCCCTCCTTGTAACATGCCCTAAGTAGGTCATATGAAGCTTGAGAATCCTTGCCTCCAAGGAGCAGCCTGGTTTCACCCTCTCTAGGACAGACCTGTTTGTTCTGCTGGCAGTCCATGGTACATTCAATACTCTTCTCTAGCACCACAGCTCAAAGGCATCAGTTTTCCTGTCATCCCTCGTCATTGTCCAACTTTCTGATGCATAGCAAGTAATTGCGAAGACCATGGCCTTGATCAGGGGCAGACTGACATTCACTCTTAACACTATGCCAGGTCAAATCTGAAACCTGTAGGGCGGCCTAAAACTCTCCCACCTTTATAAAAGCAGACTCCCACATCAGTAACTATATCTGTCTGTCCATCTATCTGTCCATGAACAAGATGAGTGTGAAGACTTCTGCATTTCTCTCTGGTCCAGGTTCAGAGCCTCAGTTACTTTTTTTGTGAATGGTGATGTTCTTTCCAGCTCTCTCCAGTCCACAGTTCCAAAATTCATTCTGTATCTTAACAGGCTTTCTGTTGTCAGATCCCAGCATGAAAGAGTTCCTCGTTAGAGAACAGATCGAAAGTGGGGGCAGGGGACGAGGGGGAGAGAGTAGCTCTGTCCAGTGCTAGGAGGCTCCTGAGGACGAACAGGGTCCGTGGGCACAGCTGGAATGTTGTCACTGCCCTGGGAGGCAGGAGCGCTTTGACCTTGGCCTCTATGGTGTCCCACAAGGCTGCCCAAGCTGCTCTGCTTTGTGAATGAATGTTTCAAAGTACAATAATGCTTGGGAAATTCAGTGAAAGAGAGGAAGGCCCACACAAGATGAGTTGACTCAGTGACTGTAACAAGAGGCTTGATCATGGGATCTGGGGGGAGATTGACCACAGCACAGGATGGGACAAGGTTTCAGTTTATTGTTCACAGAGTCATTATGAGTTGTGTTTGACTGAACGGCACCTGTCAACTCCAACAACATCATTTCAAAGTATGCCTTAAAGTATGAACAGTCTCGTTATTTTCAGAAAATGGAGTCGTTATTGTTGGTTATTCTTACTTAGGGAGTTCTGGTGGCCTAGTGGTAAGAAACTGTACTGCAATCCAAAGACACGTGGTTCAAATCCACCAGCTGCTCTGAAGGAGGAAGATGGGAAATCTCCTGTGTGACTAACTGCCTCTGAGAACCCGCTCTTGGGTCAGCTATGCATCAATTCCAACTCGATGGTACACGACACACACTCACAACAACATTATTATTCAAGAATAGAATGCTTTTGGGCTGGCCTGGGTAAACATGTCCGTATGTAGAAAGATTGTTGTTTGAATGTTTTTTAGATAGTTCTGTCTCGTATATAATGTTCAGCATACCAAGTCACTACCACCATAGTCTATTTTTAATCTTTTTGTACCACTCTTTTTTTTTAAATATATTTTTTGTATCACCCTTTTAAAAGG